GGGGCTGGCGGGGTGGCGCGGGGCTCGCGTGGCGGGGTAGCGGCGGCGCCAAGCTGCGTAGTCCTGCCACTCCCGCCCAGCCGTGCGCCAGGCCAGGCTGCGCGCCGCGGTGCCGCCCACCCTCCAACAACACATTCCTCAGCTCGACCTCCATACTTCCGAGCTCAGCCCCCCCGGCTCAACCTTCATCGGCGACCTCCAGAGGTAAGCGAGAAAGCATCCAAGGCGATGGCAGAGGGATTTGTTTTGCTGTAATGTGGGTTCCACTACCCCTCAACCCCTACCTCAACCCCAAACCCCGCGCCCCGTCCAGGCCGGCGGGAGAAGCGGTAGGGGAGGGGGGTGAGGTCGGGTGAGGCTGCTAACCCTTAGGGTGGGTCGGATCAACGGCGAGTCGCGGTCCGCTTGCCCGCATCATGCACTTCGGCAACAGGCTGAGCGCACCGCCGCAATGTCTCTTTGCGGAAGCAGAGAGTACAGCGTTGGTGCTGCAGGTGATAGGTGCCGTCACCCGAAGGAGGGAAAGGAAGTGCGCGGCCATGACTTGTTGCTCTTCTGCAGGGTAAATAATCCAATGAATCAGTGACGGTCGGCAGCGGGGGCGGTGAAGAGGCAAGGGGGTGGCTCCTGACCTGTGAGCTGACCCGGCCGGTCAGTCACCCGGCAACGGCACCGCCCCCACTTCCGGCTACGTAGTTCTTCACAAAGCATGGAAGTATTTTGCGATTGTTTTTCCTTTTTCTTGCAACGGCAGAGGGACGTTCCTACGTCCTCTGTGCCCCACTAAGTAAGTTTGGAAAACTTTCGGGTGTAGCAAAATGCGCCTGTTGTGGGGCGCGAGCGGGCGAGTCGAGGCGGTGGTGGTGGCAGGGTGTGGCGGGTACTCAGCTCGGCCCGAATAGACCGCCAGGGCTGGTCGAGTGTGTTTGTTTGCACACACTGGCCGCCGGCCGCCCCTGGGGGTGCAACACTGCGAGCGCGCCTGGCGCTGTGGTAGCGACCCCTCTGGAAGAGGGGGGGGGAGAAGAGGACTCGAGAAGAACACGATATGACAAGTGCCCCGGACAAAAAGGTCCGCTGCGCGACTCTCTCGGCCTGTTACGTGCGGGTGGGCGGCGGGTGGCGGGAGGATTGAACAAGTGCCCCGGCCCCCCCTTTCTCTCTCGGACCGACAAATCAATAACGTCGGGATGCCTCCCCTCCCCCACCCCCACCTCCAGTGCGTTGAGCAGCACTCTGGGAGGTTGCCAAATTTAATCCTCCATGAAACTTACTCGTAAATGTATTATGGCTCCTGCGACAGGCCGTTAGACCTGAGGGGGGGGGGGGATGCCCCTCACGTCCTGGGCAGCAAGGGGGTGGGCGACAGACAAGCCCACAGGGCCCAAGGGGGAGCAAGGCTACGACGGTATCACGTCGTAGACAGGACCGACTCTGGCAGGACTTCGAGTACCGTCGAGGGGGCAATAACTCCCTTTTGAAGTGTACACATGATTCCCGAAATTCTTGATTCCCGGTGATTCCCGTCCGCTTATAATTGTTACATAGGTTTTTCGGGGGGTTTTAGTGGTATAAAACGCTTATTTCGACTGATTTGTACTTATTTCTCTAGTTTCCCGCTTATTCTAAGCGATTTCTATTGATTTTGATCAATTCTTTTCCTGATGATTCCCAGACAGGTGTACACATGATTCCCGGAGTTATTGCCCCCTCGAGTACCGTTCAGTTTATTTCAATCCGTTTCCGCCGTAAGTTGCACTTGGACATTGTCAAAAGCTTATGATACAATAGAGTGTAAAGAGTAATACGTATCATGAATGTCTCAAGTCACAGTGCAGAGTAGTGGGCCTCTCTTTTCTTTTCTGCCGTGCAAGGCCAGGGCCAGAGAGACGTGAGTTCGTGTCGAGAGCAGGCCTCGCGCTTACAACAGCACTCTGCCGGTTCATCCCCGTATGCATGCACCGGCATGCACCACCCCCAAGAGAGAGGGAGAGAGGGGAGGGAATCAAGAATTTAAGGGAGGGGGGTAGGGGTTGGGTTTCAAAGGCTGAAGCTGTGTGCTCTGCTCAATTACCTTGCAGGCTCGCTTGCAGCGCTCGGCAGGAAGGTATGTGGGTCAACAACAGCGACCGCAGCTGCCATGGCCTGCAGGGGCGGAGCGGCCACCACCACCCACAGAAACGCTTCCTACAGATGCACAGACAGTCCCTTTTGGGGCGTTCCACTTCGACGTGGCAACCGAGCGGCAAACGCATTCGCAGGGAGAGAGCAAGCGACATTTGGGGGGAGGGGGGGGGAAGGGGGTCCAGGGAGCGGATCAATGCAGCCGACCCGCGGAGATGCATCGGCAACTGAGGTCGGGCCGCCACCCCCCGTAGCAGGTTGCGTGCTGAGGGCCTCCTCTATAGATACATTACCGTTTTGTGAGGGATATGCTAATGCGACGAGGATCGCAGAGGAACATTACATATTGACAAAATTGTGATGAAAAGCGATTCGGGCAATGGGGGGAAAATAATGAATGGAGAGCCAAGGGAAAGGGGGAAGGAGCGGCGAAGGAGAAGGTCATTAAAGCACCGAGTACTAGAGGTGGTTTCAACACCCCTCTCAACGCGGGGTGGCTCCCAATTAGACCCCGGCCCCCTCCCTTTGTCTCGCTGAGGGGGCGGCTCACCGGCAAGCTTACCAACCGGGGGCCTCCAGCACGACCTATCCAGGAGGAGCTCATCGCCGGGGGCGAGCCGCGTCCTCCCCCTCCCCCTCCCCCGGGCCAAGCCGGGCCGACTTGTACCGCGACGGATGGCAGCAGCTTGATAACACATCGATCGAGGCCCACGCGGGCAGCGCAGGCGGACGCGCCACCTTTTGCGTTCCCTCGGTCCCCGCACGCTCGTTAGAGCCCCGCCAGCCCGGGCCGGGCTGCCCGCGAGGTGTCACCTCGCCCCGCCGGCCCGCCAGTGAGTTGTGTCCTCTCGGCCCGCAGGCACCGCGGGCACCGCAGCGGCCAGGCTGTCGGAGGGGTCGCAGGGCTATGGCCTGCGGCGCCCACGCTGGCCCATGGTGCCCTCAGTGCCCATGGTGGCCCTGCCCTCGCCCGCGCCGCCCCTGCAACCGCCTCGGTCCATGGTGCCGTCGCTGCGCTTCCTGCCGCGCTGGTGGGACATCGCCCAGGTGCTGCTGGGCGTGGTGACGAGCCTGGCCGTCATCGCGTGGCTGGCCGTCATCGCCAGTCGCGGAGGTAGGCCGGTGCCGGCCGCGCCCCTTGCCGCCGCCGCACCCCGCTGCCCGGCCGGCCTGCCGCGGAGGGGGTGCCCGCCCGCGGGGCTGCTGCTGCTCGGCCTGCACGAGCACTGCAAGGTGAGCCGACCGGGTGCTCGACCCTAGTGTTTTCGATTGGGCGGGTATGGATGGACTAAAACTTTGGCCCGCCCACAGCTGTTTTAGATGGGGTCGGCCAAAGATTGTCGGTCTCACCCGCCCAATTGAAAACACCACTTGAACGTGCGCTTGGCCGGGTGTCTGACCGTGTGTCCGTGCCCACAGGCCGCTGACAGCCTTCTGTACGATTTCCACCGAGCCTACCTGTTCACGTCCACGATGGGCGACAGGCGACCGCCGGGCCCGGGCGGCATGCACATGGGATTCAGCGTCACGACCTCGTTCGGCGTCCGTCGCCTAAGTGGTGGTGGCCAGCGCGGCCAGGGGGCCGGCGGGGAGGCTCGCGCGGAGGCCCCCGGTGACGGTCGTGCTGGAGCCTCGCAACCGGCGCGAGCCATAGAAGAAGCGAGTCCCCCGACACCGACCAGCAGTCCGCCCGCTCCCACCGAGGCTCCTGCTCCCATCTCTGCTCCCGTCCAACCCGAGCGTGACGAAGTGCGCGACATTTGGGACAACCTCTTCGAGCCCGACGACAACGCGGCCGGCCAGGCTCGCGCGCGCCACACGCACGTGCACCACCACTTCTACGACCACTTCCACCATCACCACCACCAGGACGAGCAGAGCCAGAACGCCGACGCGGAACGCCTCGTGACCGAAAGGCCGGTCGTCGGCCACGGCCACGCACACGGCCACGGCCACAGCCACCACATCGGCCCGGACGGCATCCCTTACGCCGTTTTCGACGCGCATTCTCACTCCCACCTCCCCCAGGACCCTCACGGGGGACCCCCGACGGGAGCCCAGAGGCCCCAGCGGCGTGGGACGCGAGCCCCGGACACCACGACCACGATGGTCTGCTACCTCTTCATCACCCTCCTTGTTGCTTCAGGCATTCTCGCCATCGGAGAAGTTATCCGGGACTGGTGGACGAATCTGGCGGTCAAGGTGAGATTCTTCCAGTTGCGCCAAACTCCTGCTGCCCCTCATTAGTATTTCCTGTGCCCCCTAAATTTTTATATTTATAAGTCACATTTCAGCGGGGCTTAATATCGCCCCGTTTTCAAAATAAGAGGCTGAGATAATATTTATTATTGAAACCAGACTAAATGCACTTTGTTTTAGGACAGAGACTCGTCCATACCCCATGCGTGACTATAAATAAATTCTATTAGAGTAGTGATTGTAAATAGGCCTGTTGGGTATGGACGATACTGAAATGTAATGACTCACTGAATTTCTCCTGACGCCTAAACACTGTCCATTTTCGTGTTGTCAGTCCCGCCGGGGGTAGGGGTAGAAAGTAGATGGGGAAGAAGAGGAGAGGACGGCCACGGCCGCGTGAGGATGAGCCGAAGGGAAGGTGAGAAAACTATAACTTCGGTGTCGTTCTACTGACACTTCCTGCTTTTCGATCATAGTCGCTTTACATGGTCGTAGCAAGCCAAATTCCCTCTGGAGGGGAGGTGCTATGGCGCCTTGCGCGAGTCGGGTAGGCAACGCGCTCAACAGGCGCGCGCTGAAAGGCCGGTGGTGGCCTACCACGCCGGGGGCTCGCTCGGCCAAGCCCCACCCCCTCCCGCCCCCGCTCAGCCTCTCGAGCCGTGCATGTCCGCATGCGCCACTCCCCCGGACTTCAGCCCACTCACCCGACAGAGGTTCACGTCTTTCTTGCTCTCCCAACAGGCTGCCCAGGCCGCGCCGCTGGACGAGGGCGCAGCTCCCGCGGGGGCGGGGGCGGCGCTGGGGGCGGCGCTGGGGGCCGGGGCGGCGGCAAGTGCGGCCGCGCTGGGGGCGGCTCGCCGGGGACAGCAGCAGCTCTCTCGTCGGTGCTCGCTCGTGGACCTCACCGTGAGCCGCCACGAGCGCCGCGAGTCCCTCGCCCACGCGCAGGGCCAGGCGGCGGTGGGGCCGCTCATCGGTAAGGCCAACTCCACCAACTCCGTCTTTCTCGAAGTGAGTCCCCATTCAGTCTTTCATTCAGCATGGCAGCATGACCCGGATGAGTAGAGTGAGCCGCACCCTCTGGTTGTGTCGTGTCCTAGACGTCCCTAGGCCTCTCGGGCTCCAGGCACCACCCCCCGGCCCCTAGTAGCTCTCCGCCGACAGCGGGCAGGCAATGACGCTCTTGTGCTTCCAGGGGCTCGGCCGCCGCCGCTATCCCGACGCAGCTCCTTCCCCGCAGCGCCGGCCGCCTGTCGCGGCTCTCCAGCACCAAGCAGCAATGGGGGGCCTGGGGCAGGGCCGCCAGGGCCGCCAGGGCGCCCACCTGGAGGTCTGGGAGAGCGTGGAGGATCCCTAGGAAGCGGAAGCGCATCGCCACGACGGCGCCCCTCCGTGTCCACGCCTTCGCTCTCCTTCGACTTTAGCGACGGTGAATCCAGTCCCGATGCGGGTCGGAAACGCGTCCGCATCATCCGCAGGCACTAGCAGCGCCCGGGGAACGTCTGATGGGTGGACCACGCCATGTGGGTGAACGAAAGACTTTGCGTGCCCAAGAGGCTACAAGCGCACATGTGCACATACCTTTAGAGTATTATATTTATATAAGTTCATCTAGTCTCTTCGCATATCAGATGTTGAATATTTAACTACAATTGATGGGTCTTGTTTCAGGCAAAACCAAAGGCCCACTAAGAACTTTTTCTTCTAAACTATAAAACCAAAGAACAAAGAAGTGTTATCATCTTGATTTCATAGTGGGTCTATATTCTCATAATCTTCATTCATTCCTTCCATGACTGTACAATCCAATTTTAAAAAATGAATAAAAACAAGCTGACATGCCTTCTAAAGTGTTTTAGCAACATTTATAAGTTAGTGTGACAAAAGACCTGGATAAGAAATTAGTATTTTCAATCCATTTTGGTTTTAATCAGTGCCACACAAATAAAGTATTTATGTGACTAGCAGTGTAGGCTGCCTTTCACAGAACAGGACATGAAAATATTTTGACATTATTGTAATAATTAGATACAGTGTAATTGTTGAGCTGTGATAAGCTTTCAAAATAAAATCCAAAGCTGTAAGATTGTGCTACCAGTACTCATAAAATACAAAATCGACGAAAACGTCTGTCAGAACTATGTAAACACAACTTAAGAGATCGAGTAGATACTGATGAGGTCGAGCAAGAAACCAAATGCCATTTGGATTGATAATTCACAACACGGAATTTGAACTATGTGGGACAGCATACCAAAAACACACATTTGAGGATTTAACATTGATTCGTAACTTGGATACTTAGAGCATTGGAATTGTTGATATAAGATATGGTGAGAGGATATGATTGTGGCGCGGTGGAGAGATCCCCCTCCACTGAGTGGATTTTGGACTAGTATGCTATGCACACAAAAATGTTCTCAATCAAAATTAGCAATAGTGGTAAAGAATCTTCAAAGAAGTTTTACAATTTGACATACAGTAATCTTACCAAATGGTGGTTACCATTTCAAAATGAATCACAATATGTGAGCAAAATATCTTACACAGAAATACAAATAATGCTTGAGTACAAATTAGATCTAACAACTATAAAAAATGATCCCACACGGAAACATTTGGTAACATGTATAGAGAGGAAGACTAAATTTTCAAATTTAACTTTTGTACAGAAGCTTTTGTTTGATGTAATAATAATGCAATCTTAAAATGAAAAAAAATTGTGCTACCATGACCACAAATATCAACATGAAACAAACAAAATAAAAAAAAAACAACAAAAAAACAGCAATATACTTAGTTTTTAAAACACTACAAAATATCACAATAGTAAAAAGACATATCCAAATCAATATCACACAGGAATGATAATAAAAATTGCAAAGCATATTTCTAGCCTCTTCAGAAATCCCAGGTAGAACACAATCGTCAAAAACTCGTCAATGATCCTCATTTGAGGTCAAAATGAGCTCATTATGGCTACCTAGCTGCAGTAAATTTTGACGATGAGTGTCAAAATGAGGTCATTTTGACATTATTTTGACAACGTGTTCTACCTGGCATATACACCACAAACTTACTAGTTTAATCAATGTAACTAGACAACATAATGAGTCCGTTGAAAGCCCTGAGCTGCAAATGAAAAATTAGTATTAATTAGTCAGTGCCTGTTGTGGATTGAAAATATTAGAAAGACATAGCGAGATAAAAACTCACCAATACTGTTAAGGATTACATTGATCTGCAACACAAATGAAACATTTATTAACATTATTAAAATCAAAGTAAAGCATGCAAAACAATAGCATGAGGAAATGACACTTTACCCGCTCATCGTCCTTCCAATAAAACACATGACAAGTAAAATCTTTAGCCACATTGCAGCTTTCATCACTGGAATTTAAAGGAAGTAGCAATTATTTTTGTGGTAAAGTGATATAATTTTAATAAAAAACGTATGGTTTATCGTGAAATACATACCCTGCAATGTAACCAAAGTAACCCTCTCTTTCATAACTGCTACCACAGGAAGAAATTTGCATGAAGGTATGACGCATTAAGGTCTGTATGAAAAAATTTAACCAAACTAAGTACAAAGTACCTCGAACTCAGTGAAGGCTCAGTCAATGATTATGTTACCTTTCCCGTGTCTTGACTTGCAACACGAACATTCATTTCTTGGCATTCCAGCAGCACCGGTTGGTGTGTAGGTTTCTCATTTGCTTTAAATATGTTTTCAACAGCAGTCTCCACAAGACTAAAATCACCTTTTGCACCCACTGGCACAGATCCAACATACATGACAGGATACCCAGTCCTAAATAATTAATGCAAATCATTGTGAGTTTTCAGTAGGAAACACAAATCATGCAGAAATAACACAAATACTGTGTTAAGAGTTGACGCACAAACAAGTATATGATTTTAAAGAAGTTGTATTTGCCAAAAAATGTTAAGAGATATTACCCCTTTGTGACTAGATAAGAATCATTTGTGGCCTTCTTTACATAAGGGCTCTTTGCTTCAGAGTTAACAGACGTTGAGAATTGCAACCTTTCCAATTCTGATGGATCAACATTTGCGATTTTTCTCAGAAATTGTAAAGGAGGATAGGGCTTTCCTGTGTTGTAGTTAGACTGAAATTGAAATTTATCAAAATTAGAGACAGTAGAGAAACAAAAAAAGGAGAAAACATGGAGGCCCTAATGGACATCTGAGTACCTTTATAATGCTGAGTACTGTAGGCTGTCCAACATTACGGCGCAAAGCAGAGGAGAGCCGTCCTTTCATAGTTCCCGAAACAACATTGCCATTCAATTCTTCAAGCACATCGCCAATTACAATGGATTCCTGGAGGACAAATAGTTAAAAAGAAATCAATCAAGAAGATATGCTTTGAAAATAATATGATACAAAAGTATACTTACATTTTCAGCAGCTACTCCATGTTCCCTCAAGCCAACAATTAAACCCTTCCCTCGTACAAACCTTCAGACAGAAATTATGATGATAACATTTGTCAACAATGAATCATAAGAAGGAAGAGATTGAATTATCAATATATACTTACACCACACATATTCCAAGTTCTTTACTGGGAACAAATTCAAACTTTAGACGTGGTGGAATGAGCCAGCTTTCATCGAGGAAAAATGAATTTGTGATGTCTAAGTGAAAAACTAACTGTCCAACCTGGTGCATCACTGATAGTAATATCTCCCCCAGTATTTCATGAGCAACAATAGAATTACCACTGTGATACCATCTTGAGGCCAGCTGTGGATTGCCCACCTAAAACGTAGACACATAATAAAGTCTTTAATGAGGGGCTTGCATCAACTAGATAAGTACAAGAACAAATGGACAATATACATACAATCATTTCAATTGGTTTGAAAAGGCAATGATGAGAGAGACAAGTTCTTATAAGCAGGCGCATTCTCCCAACATTGGTGGAGACTTTGGAATCTTTCTTAACTGAGCTAACAGCATATTCGTAACCAAATGTAGCTCTAAAAAGAAAAATAACATGTGAATAATGAACTTACAAGTATTAAAATATAAGAAAAAGAACTCACCCTTTGCGTTGATCTCCAAAGAATGACATCCAAGTCCAAACATCTCCTTCTTTTCCAAATCCAAGAGGAGTCAACTGTGGCTTAAGACCTTTTGAGAGAACGCTCTCAAGAGACTCACAAAATTTAACCAAAATATCACTCTCGTCAGTCACTGGAGACTTTTTTCCTTCATCTGGACTAAAATGCTGCTCGATTAAAGTGCGGAGATGTCCTGGTAAAAGAAAAGGGTATTCTGAACAGTTCAGATGAGAGTTTTAACAATTGAAGAAGAGAAGTTGAACTAACTGACCTTTCAGATCTTTAATTAAAGGGTCACTTACAGACATTTTAAAATAATACAAGCTTTTAAAGAGAAAAGTGGCTCAAAGCAGCAATATTTATGATATTTTTGTTATTATTTGTAATTGCATGGAAGATTATGCCAAATCGATTGCATTGTAAAACGATACAATTTAACAAAAAGCACTAGGAGAGTCGAAGCTCCCACGAGCACCAAACTGTTACTACATTCACATTTTTGCTTAAAATTTGCTGAAAGTCAAAACCCAGATCCTTGTTGTTGGTCTTCCACTTCTAATGTCAACTAGCAGACAGGAAACAACACTGAACTCAGTGAGGCAAGTGGGAGACTTTGAACTAACACATATTCATTGGTTTTCAGATGAACAGCAAGTTTGGCAAAGTGACAGCTCTCTTGATGGTAACATCGGAGAAAATGAATGATAAGAAACAGCTCGAGTTCTGCACTTAAAAAGTTGTATTTTAAAAATATTCACTTGATCCTATATCTCCTGTCTATCCAACCAACAATCCCCATCACAGCCTTTGAGATACAGTGTGTTTATGTTGTGGTTGATTCTTCTTGTTTATGTTGTTTTATGATAGGGTGGAATGTCTGAGAATTTTTAAAGTATTTCATTCAATTTAGGCCTTGCTATTTTACTTTTAATTTGAAATGCGTTAAGTCATTTAACCAGCATGGTTGTCATGATTGCCTCTAAGTTATCCTTACTTTTATATGCAGTCATATTAATTTTAATTTGCGTCGGTAAGTAGTCCCATCAACTAGCATTGTTCTAAGAAATGCGCAAATTCTTTTCTGAATTCTACCCAAATTTTAACTATTTTCTTTTGTTGAATTGCATGTTGTATGCCTATTTATTGCATAATCTGTCAGATACTTCTTGAGGCCTGGCTTGTCATTTTGTCACAGTATTGTGGGTTAGGTGTCCTTATTCCTTCAAGCCTTGTTTTATCATCTGTTGCTTAACATGGTTGAATTTACACTGTATGCGTTTTTTAGTGCTCAAGTAAGCACACATTAATTTAAAAACAAACTATGGTTGCTAAGTTAAATTTCGGCATATGAGCTCATGAGTCTACAAGAAATTCTTGGTCTTTGCCAATCGCTCAGAAAAATCATTTAAGTTAGTTCTTTGCAGGAACTGCTGAATTTTTAGAACTCCAGCATGAACCTAATAACTAGAAAACACTCTATGACATACTATGAGAGAGATTTCATCCTCAGATAAATTTGATTTGAGTCAATTAAGGGTCAATCATTGGCGATGAGCGATCCACAATTTATGTGTTGTGGGAGCACCCCAGGTCTCTTCTTGCACCATCAATTATGGCCTCATTGGTCCTTCTTTCTTTCAGCAGAGGGCTGTGACTATGTTGTCTGGATCACTGACAATGGCCCAATTGTGCAAGGAGGCTCAATCTCTTTCCAGGCAGAATTACTTTGCTCTGATGGGAGCCGCCCTGAAGGAAGTTTCCGCTATTATTGGAAAGACAATACACTAGAATCTCACGAATGGATGGTAAGATGTGCCTAGTTGCAGGTTCTTGTGACATACAGATGTCGTGCACCAAATTGTATAAGCAAACACCTAAACTTCCTACTTTATTCCATTTAAAAAACAAAACAAATTGGAATTTATATTCTGTCATTTTTTGCTTTAGGACGAATCTACCCATACAAGTTCAACATGGAATGTTACGTATCCAGCTAAAAATTACTACCCTGGTGAATATGAGGTTCAAGTCAATATTGATAAGTTTCGGGTTATTCTGTGGGTTGACATCTGCAGCAAACGAACTTCCTTTAATATCACAGGTTTGTAGTCAACTTACCCATCCTTTGTTTTAAAATAGTACTTTTGGTTCTATACATTTATGTTCACTTTTCAGCTTTGCTCAATGGAAGAATGGATTTAATTCAGGATCATTCGCAGAAGTCAAACTTTATATCCAATGCTACTGAAGTTGAACATAAAATTGTGCTTTCAGAGGCAGATGATAATCTATTAAAGAATGCCACTGAGGTTATGGCGTTTTGGTAAGTTCCTACCTAGAACTTCATTATGTTTAGCTATCTCATTTTTAGCAGATGATACTTTAAAACACCTACACAAAACATATTGTATACATGAGTAAAAGAGTCATCTAGCTGTAACTCTCTACAAGGATAGAGAACCAAGTGATTGCAAGCAAGCCATAAACAAATGACAAGATCAATTCTTGGTTGAGATTTTTTTGACTACTGATATATTGAAAATTCAATTTACATGCATTTCAAATGCTTCTTGACCTTAGGTTCTCCTTGACTTGACTAGTTCTATTCTATTTTTTAGTTTAGTCAGACCCATCTTATTGTATGTTTCTGCTTCAATTCCAGGTTTGTAGACTGCACCTTCTATGGGGTCTCAGAAGATCTGACTTTCAACTACACTTATGGAACTGTGGGTTACAATCATAATGTTGAAGCCCTAGTTGTGGTTTCTTTTGATCCAATCATCCCAACAACCACACCTGCACCCACCACTACTACTTCCACTACTACAACTACAACCACAACCACAACTGTGGCCCCACCCACACCTTCTACTCAACCCACAAGCACCAGCCCAGCTACGACATCATCCACAACCACAACTCTTAAACCTAATGTCAGTGGAATTCTTTTGAAGTCAAATCAATCTGCCCTAACCATGCAGCAAAGAAAAATTCTTCAAAACTTTTACGATCTAAATGCCCCGTACAAGTGCCTGAATTCTTCAATAATCCCACCAGACGGAAACAAAACTTATGGATATTTTCATCGACGCATGAATGTGAAATGTGAGTTGCATTTGATTTCACTGATTAGTTAAGAATTGTATCTATTGAAAATAGAAGTACTTAAACTATTTCTTTATTACAGCCCCTATTCACAACATATCTGTCAAAGGCACAAATTGGCTGCAGCAGGATCAGTTGTTGGACTTGCAAGTATTGTGTAGCGGGTCAGGAAATTTTAGTGCTTGTAATTACAAAGCACCTGCCAACTACAATGTCACTGGTCTGTTGATAATTATTGTTCTGGCCTAAATTTATTTTTTTCTGTTCCCCCTTTTTAATTTTATTTCATGGTTTTGTATTTCAGGCAATGAGACCTGTATGCATGAAGAAATCTTTGAAACTTGTCAGTTTAACGTATCTAGGTTTTTCTCTTATGTCAATTACACTGTCATTGTCATTGTCAGTAATGACGTGTCAAAGGTGGTTTATCCAGTGAGCGTGATGTTTTACAAAGGTAAAGTATTGAATAAATGTTGATACCATTTTCTTTATTTTTTCAAGTTTGCAACTCATCTTATTTCTAATTAACTAAGGGACTTGGTACCATATCCACCAGCCTAGTCATTGATCAAAACTCTTATAACATGTTACAGTTCAAAAACATGCTCAGCTGTCTGTCATTGTGGTACCGGTTGGGTGCACTTTATTGGCTGTCATCATGATTGTATTTGGTGTGGCTTACTATGTCCAAAGAAAAAAGAGGTTGGCTTTTTGGAATGGAGTATGTGCAGAGAATTTTATTTGTTTACTGTACTCACATGACCAATTTTTCATTTAACAGGTTTACTGTAGAGGTTGCAGATTTTGACTTTGGTCAAGGGTATGATCAAGACATGGAGTACAAAACATTTAGAGAACGTTTGAGGGAATCTGTTGTAAACTCATTTAACCGTGACTTTGGAGTTGATGGTGAGGGCAATGTTTGGTCTCCCAGCCGGAAATACGGTAGTATGCAGTGACCCAGGCAGCCCTCGGGGCCAGGCAGGTATGTATTGGGTACGGCTTCAAAAAAGCTTTTAATTTTGTTCCACAATAAGTTATTCATAATATTTGATCAGTGTTTCTCCACCTTTTACCTAATTATTTTTGGGGGTATATTGCACATGTGAATAATTAATTATCCGTCTTAATTGCAGGGCACATACCACACATCCATACGAGGGCTATTGAGGACTTGTCTCCAATCCAACAGTTCCCATTATGGTTACTGTACCTATGTGATAAAGTTAATTGACTTCTTTTATGTATTTCACCTTATAACTCCACTCTTAAAACTCATCAAACATTTGCCTTCCAAAGAATTGAGAGTGAGACGGGGAAATCATGATTTTGTACATGTCTCAGACTTGCTTTGACATTGGAATTAATGATTGAATATCTTTTTGCCAACTTATATTGATGCATTGAGGAGGTTTAATATATTTCTTTCAGTTTCTGAAACATTTTATTTGAATGTATCATATGAATCAGAATCTGAAAATGTTACTTTTTAGTTTTTTTTTCATGAGTTTGGTGAAAATGTTTCTTTGCTTAAATCTTTTATATCATCTCACTATTTATGCAAAAGGAAATAATAATGGAGTCACTATTGCCCTATGTTTCTTATAATTGTTGATGAAACCATTGGATTTGTTTATCTGGGGTCAAATGTATGGATACCCCTGCGCGTCATTGCACTTTGTAAATGACAGTTTGTCTTGTTTTGCTTTTTTTGTGGGTAGTTATTTGTTGCTTCAGGCCCTATTTATAGACTATTTACCCCTCTTTAGCTGTGGTTGTTCTCAAAATGAACTAGGGAATTATGTGCACTTGGGGTGATTTGCAATGGATTGCATGTATAGTTGAAAATTGCGGCCAATTTAAGGGGTTCAAGGGGCCCTGAGCATTTCAGAGCAAGAATTATGCTAATCCTGGTTTTCGGACAAACCCCATGTCCCATCATGATAGCAGCTAAGTGGAGCTTTTCGAACTCTGAGGGCGGCCCTTTAATAGGCAAGTGAGATTTTGAAAAAAAGGGCCTTATGTAATTTAAGTGCATACTGTGATAAGATATTTGTCAACCACCTAATACTTGAATTATTTTCTCATTGCGCTGGCTTTTCTTTTCAATGCTTTTGCGATACAGCTAGGGAAGTGATGTACTAACTTTTCTTTCAAGATTGTCTAAGCAGAATTTTTAGTGATTTACATTGTAAGGTGTAACAAAATGCACATTTATCCTGCAAAGTAGATGCTTCAGGACATCTTTTCCCCCTCTTTTTATGAGGAGGAGATTGTTCTTTGCTCTGCCCACACCACAATGTATGTGATGTTTGATTATGCGTTTTCTTGTGTAAATATTGATACATATTCTGATTTACCACAACTATGAGCTGATTTTACCTTTTGTACATAGCTTTTGTCCAATAATCTCATTGTATAAAGTCATAATTTTGTGGAACCAATTAAAATTTTGGCAAGGAGTAGAGGTAGACAAGCAAGAGGAACAATTTTATTTCTAAATTTTAAACTAAAAGAACTTACTAGTTATGCAAATAATGGACTGCTCTTTAAAAGTTAACTCGTTAGATGGTAATGTGTGTGTGTTGTGAAAAGCAAGTTTTTAATGTGTCTGCATCCAAATTTTTGTAATGGCTGTATTCTATTTTATTTAATTGGCCCAAATTAAGAACATGCTGTATTCCATTTTTTTAATTTTTTTCCCCTCTTTGTTGTTGGCTGTGATAAACCATATACCTTTTTTACTATAGTGTACATAACAATCTTAATCAGTCAGCAGAGCTCTGTGTCATAGACCTTATTAAATCCTATCGGATTTCAATATGATTGAAATAAAACAATGTAATAAAATCATTAATATTTCTTCATTCTCCTGCAAAACTAGCAACAGTTTTAACTGCTACCATTGCTACCACATGAACACAAGTGAGACACTGTAGCTTTCTTTCTGTTATGGATGTAATGGTTGTGATTTAGAGGCAGAGAGTCATTGGGTGATTTCTCTCACCAGGGTAGCTAATGACCAGGCAACCAGACTTTCTCTCTCCTCTGTCTTTCATCGGTTTATTTTGCATAACAAGTATATATTATTCTATACATCAAAGGGGAAGTAAAATATTGCCAGGTGCGGGACTCGAGCCTCTGGCACGGATCACCCAACAAGGGACCACCCAACGTTTGGCCCCACATTGCGCGCCGCGGGGGCCTGGCCTGCCAGCCACGCGACGTCTCCTGCTCATCGCTGCTAAAAACTAAGAGAAAATAAATGACGAAACGGGAAATAAACGCCCCTCTTCTTAGTCTGGTGTTTCTTTCTGAACCACCTTTGAATCAATCTCCAACTCTTTCCCCCCCTCTTTTGAAAATAATAATGATAGTTAGATTGCCGAATAGGGCAGCTGTGGGCTGCGGGGACAGTGGAAACGGGCTGTGCTGTGCGATGCGGGTGCGTAGCGTGGCGAGGCGTGGCATGGCAAGAAGGAGTGTCGCAGCTTTAGCGCGGGGCCTACAGGGCGGCCCTCAGCGCGCGCCCTCCCGCGCCCGCCGGGCGACTTCACCTGCGATCCGCGAAGCGCGGCCACAGCAGGCTCTCGCCCCGCTCCATCTGAAACAGACACACAGGGATCACTTACTTGGCGTCACTTCCCCCGCCTCGGCAGAGTTCGGGCTAGGAGGCAGCGAGGCACGGCGCAGGGCGGCGGGGCCGGGCGGGGCGTTCTTATGGAAATTTGTGGCCGCGTGAGCTTGGCGCCACAGTGGCGCCGCGGAGGTGCCCCCCCTCCTTACCCCGATTTCTCTTTATCCGCAGGGCTTCTGGGTCCTCCCTTTAACTGGATCGTCAGAGCCGTTTCTAAAACATTAAGAGCTTAACGCCTCCCCCCCTCCAAAAAAAAATACTCTGCACTGAACGCGTTAATGCCAACCGTTTTGGCGGGTGCGCAGCGCACGAGCAGCCTGTGTCCAGCCCAGCGTCCAGAACTCCGGCAGGGTCTCGACAAAGAGCTGGCGTGGCGTGGCGTGGCGTGGTGGTATCGCTTTTTAATAATGCCTATCACTGAGCCGGAGCGGGAGGTATGAAAGAGGCGGGCGCTCCCGTGTCCCTGCCTCAGATGAGCCTCTTTGCAGCGCGGCTTGCTCCGCCACGCTCTGCCACGCCCTGCCACGCCCTGCCACGCTCCGCCACGCCCTACCAAGCCTTCTTTCTCCCCGCGGTGTCGACCTGCTTGCCGGGGATGCGGTCGCCTCGGCACGCCCCGTGCCTCTGGCTGTGCCGCACTGAGGCTCTGAGCAAGGCGACCACGACATTCGGCTGGTCGCACTTCCTCGTCCTGGTTCAACCACGAGGACCTATCGGAAAGTGCGTATGCATTGCTTTCGCACCCCAATTCCCTGCTGCTACTTTTATACTAGGGGCCCGTGCGTAGTCAATGTGCACGGGGTAGCTGAGCGAAGTGGGTTAAAGTTTGCCATTGTTTCAGTTGGTTTTTTATTTTACGTTTTTCTGATTTTTTTTTTT